ACAAGTTGAATTTCGGGGCGAAATTCTTTTAATGGGGGGAGAATGTAACAATTGTTAAAAATAAGAACGATCGTACGATGCTATGTTTTGATTATTAAGCAATATAAGTATTTTATCAAGAATGGTTAAAGGAATTTAACCTCATTTATTTAAATAAGTTATTGTGAAATATAAAACAAGTAACAATTGATAAATTTCGTGATGATGTATGACTACGAACCATCACCAGTTTGTGAAATTAACATATAACATCATTTAAATGCAACAAACTTAATTTTTGTATTAACATGTCTCTAGTTGATAAGTAAATTAGGTTCTATGTAAAAGGTTTGCTGAATAGACGTGGAGGATCTAAATTTGACAAATATACGAACCAAAGTGACAAAACGTGTTTAACAATATGGTTAACCGGTTAAATGTCACGAAATTATACATTGGTCAATAAATTTTATATTTAAATAAAGAAAAATATAAAATGAATTATTATAAGGTATAATTAGAATGTATTTAAGTGTTTTTGAATAAAAAGAATAAAACATAAACATTAAAGTTCAAATACACAGAAACTACATTGTTATTTTATACTAAGTATACATGTATGTATTTGTACATATGTATTATTATCTAGTGAATGACTAGTTATGGGTCATGATTTAAGTGATTTCATGTGAAGAATATGATTTCTAAATCAATTAAGATAAGAGAATTGGTGGAGATATGTGCCAACTTAACTAATAAGTGCTTAATCACTTAAGACATTTTACTAAGAATGCTTATTAATCCCTCTTCTAATTTTCGAGATTAAGACCTTCCCTCTCCTTAACTAGAACTCCTAACTAACTAAATAACTAGTAGTTAGTTAGTTAACTAACTCTATCTCTAAGCAACCACCCAAGCAAGTGGCTAGACAAGATCACATCACTTAAACTCACATCCCATCACAAGCTAGTCTAGGTTTTGTCCCCTTATCCTCTTCCACTCTTTCCTCCTTCATATCCACGAAATTTCCTCTTCATTTTACCCTCATTTGACCAGCAATACTCTAGGGAATTACTCTCAACCTTCATCTCATTTTCAAGCACAAGAACTTCCTTCCAAAGCCATCAAAACCATGAACTAAAGGGTTGTTGTCCCTTTTGTGTTTCAGCCACCATTTCACCCATCTACACCTTCCTTTTGCTTGATATTTTTACCACCAAATACCCCTGGAAGTTACTTGTTATGATACTCAAAATTATTGATTCAAAACAGTGAGTAAACTACCCTTTTCTTGCTCTTTTGCTGTGAAATTTTCGTGACAGCAACATAGCCAAAAGAGTGGCTGTTTTGGAACATCAAACCAACAATCAAAAGTTCATCTTCAACCTTCCATTCTTCAAGTATTCACATAAGGTGAGTTCATACCCCTACATTTTCATGTTTTCTTCAAGTTTTAAGGCGGGGATACAAGTTAGAGCACTAAACATAACTTAAATTTAAATGACAGCTTTCTACAGAAAAGTTGAGTCCTGTTCACGGACTGTTTTGACCATCTTAAACTTAATATATTTAAAATCTGTACAATATGCAAATAGTTCACGTTTATACCTTTCTGAGAACTACTTTCATGCATTCATACGATTTTTCTACAGTTTATGGCGATTTTTATAAAATTGTCTGTCATTTCAGAAGTGATTTCGGACCAGTCTGTGAAGATGTTCATTTTCACACTAGTTTGAGACCACTAAAAATCATAATAAAAATTAGGAACAAGGTAGACTCATTTTATAAACTCTCAGAGGTGACGGATTCAGTTTTTGACTTACGATGATTTTTCTATGAGTTTTCTAAAAACAGGGATAGTAAAGGGTAAAACTGTCAAAAGTGGTTTATGGATTTATTAACACCTTCTAACATTTTTGAGCAATGTTTATTCATTGAGGAAGTTAAAACACAATCATTTAAATATGTTTAATTACCAATTTTACAAAAGTGATAAGTACAAAAAGCTCTTTAGTATCAAACTTAAGGATTATTTCATGCAAAGTTTCTAATAAAAACGTAAGAATATGAACAACAATTACGAAACATACCAAATCATCTTTTAAAGTTGATATATATATATATATATATATATATATATATATATATATGTATATAACCATATACATATATATGTTTTGTTTACAAACTTGTCTTCTACATCGAAAATATACATATATGTTTTGTTTACAAACTTGTCTTCTACATCAAAAATATACATATATAGTTTACGAAACTCTACTCCATTTGTATCCTGTTGAGCAAAGGGTAAAATATTTTCAAATGCATATCTAAAGATTTCACGTCATTTTTCATAGCTATCCCAGTCTTAGGGGATGTTCATTTAAATGAACATTTTCACACGTAAATCTGTTTTATACTAAGTTTTGTGAGACATCAACTTCACGTACGTTCGAGTATCCATTTGAAGTACTGTATTATATACCAGAATCCCTTGGAGGGGGAGCATGGTGTTTGTGTATAGATCTATACGGGCTTGACAACTCGCGCCCTGACTGTTACCTACAGTCCACCATTTGGGGTGACAAACGTCAGAACATTCCAACGCCTGAAGAACGTTGTGTATAGGCATTTCTAGTCAATAGCATGGTTATAAAACTCACATGGAGTATTAAAAACACATTGATTTACGGGGTTTTTCAGATGTCTTGGAGATTTTATACGTACATACATTTTCTAGAAACAAACATTGGTCTTGAAAGAAGGCTACATTTATGCTAGTAGAAAATATAGGATTTTCTAGGTACAAACAAACAAGAACAAAACATTTCATTTCATACAAACATTGTCATTTAATACTTATGAAACTCACCAGCTTAAATGTTGATCTAGTCTTTCAAAACTACTTGTATGTCCCAGGTATTCAGTAATTACAGGTAACAAACAGGTTTTGAAGAAGGGACGTTGTGGTGCCAGTTTAAATTCATATTTTGGCATCATATTGTAATTGGTTTTGAACATGTACCTTTTAACATTGTAAACTTTCAATTATATATATGATGGTTGTATTGCTTTCTTTACTATGTATTCATTTGTTACGTTACCACATGAAGTCATCCGCCCCCGAACGTTTCCGCCGTTCCGGTTTGGGGGTGTGACAGGTATGTATTATGAGAATAAGAAGGTAAGTTTGCTTATAAATTTTACTTATTTATATAGAGAGTTTGTTGGTGTCCAATTCTTGATTATGGTTGCAGGATAGAACAATTTTTTTTTCTAAAAAACCCAGTGCACGAGTTATGAATGATCAAAAGAAAGATGATGAAATTACAAATGACCAATATCCAGATGAGATGTATGTTGAAAGGTTCCAGATTGAGAACTTAAATATCAGTTTACGGAGTTTGATGAGTAAGATCACAATACAAGAACCTACATATGATAGAATAATTGTCGTTTACAGGTATTTTGCTTCTTTTTAATTAATATTATTTTGAAATTCATTCTTTTTATTTGTGTTTGTACATGTATGATGTATAAATATAATGTTAAAACCACAAGAATGTAATGATCGATATGCAGACGATCAAGCACCAAGGGACAAAAAGAAAGGGGAATCCATGTGAAGCATTTCAAAAACATCCCAATGGCAAATATGGAATTAGTCCTAGTGGGTTTCTTTTATTTTTTTTAATTGAAGTTTTATTATATGAATTGGATATTTTTTCACCTTTTTAACATTATCTTGGATATGTAAGTTTCTAATTCCAGAGGTAAAACTATGAATGCTATATAACATTACCTATGTTAGCTTGCAGGCAACATTGGATGAAACTACATCACCAGAAATGCAGCCAATGTCAACACTCAAAACGAAAATACAAGAGAGATCGACATTCTACTCCACTCAAAACCAAAAGAAAGCCAACTCATCTACAAGTGGAAGCAATATAGATATTGTTGTAGATGTTAAGAAAGGAAGAGTTTTAAAGAAATAAAGAATATCATGACCAATCATGGTATTATTGAAGGTTTGATCTCACATCAGCTTTAGTTATTTTAGTTTACCAAATTAAAAAATAATAGTCACTTTGCTTATTGATTTGTATATGTTAGCAAAAAAACATTCTTTGAGGGTACTTTTGTCATAATACTTAACTGTTTTAAAGAAATAAAGAGAAAGGAATTTGACTTTATTTTTTGTTTCAGTGGACAAAAGACGACACCTAATGAAGAATATTCAAAGGAAAGAGTAAAGCGCACATTGTTATTGGTAAAAACATATGTACGTTGTTATTATGATAGAAAAATAAAGTATGTTGACTATATATTGGTAAAAAGAGTAAGGTATGTTGTTATTTCTTTCACTTTAGCCTAATCATATTCCCATTGGTTTCTTAGGCATCAACGATCGAGATCATTAGTGGATTAAATGGAGAATTTAAGGCCATCTGATGCTTCAATTATCGATATTTTATTGTTTGTGGGTGGCTTAACTCCACTTCTTCTTTAGTACAAGTTAGATATAGAACCTGAAAGAACAAAAAAAATACGACTCAGCGCCAACGGGCGCACATGATTCCCATATAGTTCATATTAATAAATATAGTTCATATTAATAAATAATGGGTTTATCAAACAATAATATTTTGTTAGACGTATATTATCTTGTATGCATAGTGTTGTGTATTTTATACGAAACGCATAATTTAGTTAGCCTAGCTTTTTAGTTAACACAAGTTGTTTGTATTCAACCCGATATGTATTTTGTGTACTTAAATGAATGCGAAGGCAATACGCCAAAGTTATGGGAAAATTGGTTTATAATAAGATATCTGCCGATTCTCCACAACTCTAGTTGATCCTTGCAATCTTTTTCCCGCTTCTTCTTCACATTCGTCATCCTCTTCTATAATGTTGGAATCTCGTTCGACTTCCACACCCAATCCCACAAATTAGATTTATTGCATCGCTAATATAAAATCATATGTTCTTTTTCTCGATTTAGATCGATTGGGCTATGATTTTGGAGGAAACTACTCAAAACTCATTGTATCAGGTACTCTGTTTTTTTTTTTTTTATCACATTGATGGCTCCTCCAACAAACAAGACGATCCATAATGGACCATGGTTGATGCGGTTGTCAAAAAATAGTTTAAGGAACCCAACACCTACTTCAAACAATCATTCAAATCAACCCTACTGCTTGTCAAATTTGGAAATCGGTTGAAGAATTATTTCAAGACAATAAAGAGGCCAAATCTATGGAACTTGATGACAAGTTATGTAATATTGTGATCGAAGACTCCATCATAATGGAGTATTGCACCCAAATTAAATCAATCTCCGATCTTCTTGCAAATATTAGATCCCCAATGCAGGAATGTAACCTGGTGATTTTTGTAATCATTAGCTTCTCACAAAAGTATGATTATATTTTGTCACGACAATTTTCCATCAAAAATCGTTTCCAACTTTTCTTGAAATAATATCCATGCTCACCCTTGAAAAACAATAAATGTTGAAAGAACAAAACCCTACCCTCTCACCAAAACAATGCCTCCTCACCCTACGGTTCTCAATACCGAACACAAAAACTACACACAAAATTCAAATAGGGTCAATCAAAATAATTTTTTGTTGGAGTTTTTTTTTCAAAATTTGTTTCTAAAATATAAGATTAGCAACGAAAGACTTTAAAATTTGAACAACATAAACTAGTTTTATTCCCGCTATAGGATCTACTTTCAAAGATTAACTACTTTCAAAGATTAAAAAGAAAACAACAACCATAGATGAGGTAAAATTATAACCTTTGTAGTCCTTTGAAACCTCAACCCCCCCCCCCCCCCCCCCCCCCTTGAAGTAAATAGAGGGGGTTGGATCGCAATGTATATTCTGAATAAGTGTTTTGCCGAGTGAAGGATGCAGTATTCGTCAAGTGGCAGACTCTTAGCTTCTGATATGGTCATTTTTTTTTAATTAACCCATTAAAAATGTAATTTAATGGGAGCCCAAAAGGTTGTTGGAGCCTAAATACTTGTTGAGCCCATAATAGATTGTTTAGCCCTCTTAGAGGAGGCCAAATATTGAAATGTCGACAGCCTGTTTAGATTATGATCCCATCTGAAAAATAATAGTCCGTATTCGAGTTTTGAGCAAAGTTAGGAGATAATCAACCCAATATGAAATTGTTGAAGGCTCCATGCGAGATGTGGGCCAGAGCCCTATTTCCTTTTTGTCATCTATGTGAAAGGATGGGGGTACTTGGGTGCTTAATGAACACGAAGATGAAAGGTCCTATCTGGATAAATATGGGTGATGAATAGTCTTGACGTCAGAGTTCGTGGCCTGAAAGGAGACAAAAGCTCGACTTGGTCGGCGATGCTGATTAACTAGGTCGACAGGAGGTAGCACGACAGTGATGGTTTAGTGGTTCCCCGCTGGAGAACGTCTGTTGTGGAAGATCGATGGGTGGTCTTGGTTTTCTCATTGGGCATCATTATCGTTGATCTGGGATTGCGGGTGATGTTGATCCTCGGAATGAATCAGGTAGTGATTGGTGGTGCTTGAAATCCTGCTCAGCTAGTGGCAGTCGCTATCGCCGGCGGTGCAAGTGTTAGCGACTGACGATTGATGGTGCTCGAACTTAGGCTTGACGGTGATGAATAAGGATGCGGCAGCTGGACACAGTCTGGATGGTGATGATTTCGTCGCAGGTAAGTTTTCGGTTAACCCAACTCATGTCCAATTCTTTGGCTTCCTCCAAATTATCTAATTAGCCTTCAATTTCACATAAATCTTCAAGCTTCTAATTTGGAAAATTAACTTGGTTTCCGTATGACGTCTCGATTTCATCCATTAGCCATTGTAAGACCTTTTACTAGTTTTTGGAGTCAAAGACTCCATGGGATCGACTGGTAATAAGAGTTATTGGCACCGAAACTGCTGTTTTAGTTTTGTTTTCTGGCGGTGGATCTAGAAAACGGAACCATCACAACGTCGGTTGTATGTTGTCAACTGATGGCGCTCAGGAGGATACGTCGGAGATGATCCAACAGTGATGGAAGAGGTCGTCGACGCGTGACCGATGATCGGAGGGTGTACAGGAAGCCTCACTTGAGAAAAGCAATATGATGGTGGGGGTTCACCTTCTTTGTCTTTTGTGATTTAATAATGAGTTTATAATAATAAATTGTAAAGATGATATATATATATATATATATATATATATATATATATATATATATATATATATATATATATATATATATATATATATATATATATATATATATATATATATATATATATATATATATATATATGATGATGATGCATGATGAACATGTATTTATATAAACAAAAGATTTAACATTCATAATCATAATAAGAACGATACTTAACTTTGATACCAAATTGAAAATAACATGATGACAGATTAATTGCTTTGATATCAATTTTAACAACATGACGGATAAATAAAGATTAGAGTAAGATTATACCTGATTAATGCGTTGGATTGTCTTGATGATGGATTGTGTTGGATAATTGAATATTTATGTGGATACTTTGGATAGAGCTCTGCTATTTAGAAATAGACAAACTATTTCAACAGAGAAGAACTTTGAGATCAATTCAAGTCTTAAACACTTAAACTTAACTTGTTTATTTCATATGGGCGAAGGCCCTATTTATAGGCTCGAAGGAGCCGGTTACATAATTGGTTTGCAATCGTTTGATTGCAAAACGACACACATATTTACATTATAGCCCTCTAGACTATTGAGGGTTACACACTTTATGTTACATCAACCGACACTTAATAATTATGCTACCGACACTTCTTATTTAATTACATAACAATCCTTTTACCGACACTTTACATAATGAAAAATATAATAATCCCTTCCACATTGAAAGGACAAATGTCTTTAAAAACGGATTGCTTACGTCATCCAAATTGAAAATAACATGATGACAGATCAATTGCTTTGATACCAAATTGGACAACATGATGGATAAATGAAGATTAGAGTAAGATTATACCTGAATAATGCGTTGGATTATCTTGATGATGGATTGTGTTGGATAATTGAATATTTATATGGATAGAGCTCTGCTATTCAGAAATAGACAATCTATTTTAACAGAGAAGAACTTTGAGATCAACTCAAGTCTTAAACACTCAAACTTAACTTGTTTATTTCATATGGGCGAAGGCCCTATTTATAGGCTCGAAGGAGCCGGTTACATAATTGGTTTGCAATCGTTTGATTGCAAAACGACACACATATTTACATTATAGCCCCCTAGACTATTGAGGGTTACACACTTTATGTTACATCACAGATAATACAATCGACGCTTAATAATTATTCTACCGACACTTCTATTTAATTACATAATAATACAATTCCTTCTCAAATTGAAAATAACATGATGACAGATTAATTGCTTTGATACCAAATTGGACAACATGACGGATAAATGAAGATTAGAGTAAGATTATACCTGAATAATGCGTTGAATTATCTTGATGATGGATTGTGTTGGATAATTGAATATTTATATGGATAAAGCTCTGCTATTCAGAAATAGCAATCTATTTCAACAGAGAAGAACTTTGAGATCAACTCAAGTCTTAAACACTCAAACTTAACTTGTTTATTTCATATGGGCGAAGGCCCTATTTATAGGCTCGAAGGAGCCGGTTACATAATTGGTTTGCAATCGTTTGATTGCAAAACGACACACATATTTACATTATAGCCCCCTAGACTATTGAGGGTTACACACTTTATGTTACATCACAAATAATACAATCGACGCTTAATAATTATTCTACTGACACTTCTATTTAATTACATAATAATACAATTCCTTCCACGTTGAAAGGACAGGTGTCTTCAATAATGGTTTTTTAACGTCATTCTTCCCGCCTTCGAAAAAGCAGATATTTTTTTTTTGATTCTTATGTTAATCGTCCATGAATAGCGTTCCTTCTTATCTGGGTTGCTTTAGGATGGCTTCCATTCTCTGGTTAGTGTGGCTGCTATATGATTGTTGGCACTTTTGATATACTTGAGGTATGAGTGAAATTGATGTAATTGTAATTGCCAACGGATTAAACGTCCACGACAATAATCTTCTTGTAATTTATATCGCCAAAATCCAAGTAGATATTTGGAATCTGTGCGTAGCTCGAATCTGGTTTGGAGTAGGTCGACTTTCCATTTTTTCAATGTTCTGAGACATTCTAGTGTTTCTCGTTCATGTGTGCTGTAATTTTGCTCCGTTTGGGAAAATGTTCCCGATATATACTTGCATAATTTTTGCTCATATTTATCTGTTTTTAATACTTCAGGTGATACATCTGTATCAGTGTATGCTTTTGGTGACATTTTCATATCACTGTCAATTATGTAACCGGCTCCTTCGAGCCTATAAATAGGGCCTTCGCCCATATGAAATAAACAAGTTAAGTTTGAGTGTTTAAGACTTGAGTTGATCTCAAAGTTCTTCTCTGTTGAAATAGATTGTCTATTTCTGAATAGCAGAGCTCTATCCATATAAATATTCAATTATCCAACACAATCCATCATCAAGATAATCCAACGCATTATTCAGGTATAATCTTACTCTAATCTTCATTTATCCGTCATGTTGTCCAATTTGGTATCAAAGCAATTAATCTGTCATCATGTTATGTTAAATTTGGTATCAAAGCAATTAATCTGTCATCATGTTATTTTCAATTTGATATCAGAGCTAAGTATCGTTCTTAGAAACAAAATTTTTAATTCTTGTTTATTTGTGTTTAGACTTGACAAACTCATAATTATAGTTTTTAGAAACAAAATGATAATTTATTTTTTCTTTCAAAGTTACAATTTATAAATTTTAATAAGATATTAATGGTGGGGTTTTTTTTTAATACTATTATATTTTAATAAGATGTTGATGGTGAGGTTTTTTTAACAAAATGTGTTTCTAATTGGTACATACTCATAATTGTAAAAACCTTCTACCGACATTTGTAGGTGGATGGTATTTGATTTAATAATGAGTTTATAATAATAAACGATGAATGTTTGTAACGATGAATATATATATATATATGATGCATGATGAACATGTATTTATATAAACGAAAGATTTAACATTCATAATCATAATAAGAACGATACTTAGCTCTGATATCAAATTGAAAATAACATGATGACAGATTAATTGCTTTGATACCAAATTTAACATAACATGATGACAGATTAATTGCTTTGATACCAAATTGGACAACATGACGGATAAATGAAGATTAGAGTAAGATTATACCTGAATAATGCGTTGGATTATCTTGATGATGGATTATGTTGGATAATTGAATATT